CCTCTCCCCATCGGCTGGATCCAAGAATGGGAGCCGTCCGCCCGCCGCGCCTTCTACGTCGAGTCCGCCACCGGCCGCGCCGAGTGGACGCTCCCCGCTGACGTGTCGTACGGCGAGGCCTCGCGCGCCGCCCCGGGCCCCGAGTACGGCTATGCGTCTCCGCCTCCCCCGCCCGCAGCGTACCCGCCTCAGGGGTACGGTGCGCCTGCGCCTGCGCCTGGCGGATACCCGGCCCAGGGGTATGGGGGTGAGTACCAGGCGCCCGAGGAGAAGGAGAAGAGCGACAAGGGGAAGATCCTTGCTGCGGGGGCGGCGGGGCTGGCGATTGGGGCGGTTGGCGGGGCGATTCTGGGGCATGAGCTTGGTATGTTTTCTCTCTCTTTTTTTTTCTTCTTCTTCTGGTGTTGGTTGGTGAGATGTGCTGACTGTGCCCCTGTGTAGCTGAGGATAGTGAGGAGGAGGAGGAGCACCACTCGCATCACTCGGATGATGAGCCTCACTACTCGGATTACGATGATTAAGTCGACCGTCGTATGGGCCTTGGGTTGGATGAGGCAATGCTGGAAGCCTGAAGGAAGTGATTCTTGCATTTTGTCTCTGATATTGATATAATGCTGTCTTGCGCTGATGGGTTAGAGTTATAAACAACTATCCATGATGCCATTTGCCCAATCCAATTCTTTTACTACCTTGAGGGCTGACTCGCACGAGATCTGATCTGATGCACCGTTCTACATGTATTCCATTTCCCTGCATGTCAGCTTGAGAACACCTGCTCATCCATATAATCGAGTATCGCAAGATGGATATCATCAGGAGCTCTGACCATCCCTTGGACGAGAGACACGTAACTCATCCAAGACTTACCCCCTAGACTGTGCTTCCAGCCATCGTGCTTCTTTGTCCCCAGAGTACTTTTTTACAGACAGAACCAGAACCAGAACCAGTGAAACCGGCTTCATATACCAGGATCCAGTGCCAGTGTTTCATTAACCACAGGCTGCATATCTAGGCTCAATTGCATGGTGCCGGACTGTCAACGGTGATGACAAACTGGTACCGGCAACGAGTCACACTGGTGCCAATGCTTCCCCGGTGTCTATCTGCCCGATCTGATTTGATGCTCAGGAAGAGGCGGAGGGCAACCGGGGGAGATTCAACGGAGGCAGGGAATACAGATGATACCTCGATGTGTATCCAGGCAATCTGTGGCATTCTACCGCTTGTCCCGCTGCAATGATACGATCGAGGTAGATATCATATTCTTATTGTCCAGTTGGAGTTCTGTAACCCGTGCAGTGCCCGGTATGCATCAGTGCTAACGGCAACAGAGTATCGGAATAAGGTTGGACTTGCGGAGAATAAACCACGATACACGAATGGTATTGGGCAGCGGTCGTCGTCAGTACCTGCTGGAAGTGGGTGCCTGAGGCCACCGGCGGGCTTAGGGCTCCGGTGGAGGAAGGTTTTTTTAGCCTAAATAACCACTATAAAATTCTTTATTTATCCCTAGAATATCTAGCTTAGTATACCATGTAATATAAAAAAAACTTTTATATATAATAACTATTTATTTTTTTTAGTAGGTTATAAGCCCGGGTTTGCTTAACTTATATACTTAATTAAAAGTCTTTTTTTTTAAGTTAACCTATACTAACTAAATATATAGTATTTTCTTATTTTACCTATCTAGCTTTATATTTTTTTTATAACTTTATTAATTATTATAATAATTAAAAAGCCTTATACTTAAAGTAAAGGCCTTGCTATAAGGGTATAAATATTATAACTTTATTTTATTTTATTTTAATTTTTTTTTTTTACCTTTACCTTTTTAATTAACTTTTAATTTTATAAATATCCGCTTTTTAAGACTATATATATTTAATTTTTTAATAAAAATAAGTTTCCCTTAGTGGCTAAAAAGTTTTAAAACCTTTAAAGGTAGTATAACACCTTTAGGTTTTTTAACTTAAACTTTAACTACTTTTTAAAAATTTAAACTAACCTTTAAATATTTAACTAGCTATTTTTAATTACTAGCTTTTTTTTTTATAACTATTTTAGTATAGGCTTTAGCCTATTTAACCTTAATTTTATTATAGTAACTTTTTAAAACTTATTATTCTTAATTACCTTAGGTTTTTAATCCCTAAGTACTTTAATCCCTGGCTTTTAAACTATTTTAATCCTTTTATTATTTAGTTTTTTTATATTTAGTTTTTTTATATTTAGTTCTTTTATATTAAGCTAAAATAAAAAAAATAACCTTAATTAAAGCGAAGAATATCCCGGTTTTAATATTAAAAAACTAGTAGGTTAAATAAAACTAGCAAGTATTTTTAAAGCTTTAAAAAACTAGCTATAATTATTTTTTAAAGTAATTAAATTAAAGGTACCTTATAAAAACTTTTATTAATCCCTTTTTTATTATACTAGCCCTAGTAGGTAAAAATATTAAAACCCCTGGCTAATAATTTATTATAAGCTAAATTAAAAATATAAGTATTAATAATAAAGTTTTAGTTATTACTATGTTTTTTATATAGCCTTTTACTTAATTTATTACTAAGGTTATTACTAAGCCTACACCCCTAGTAAACTATAATAAGGCTAAAATTTAATAATAAAATTAAAACCATGCCATGGCTTTAATTTTTAGTTATTTAGGTTTTAATTTATAAAACCTTTTTATTAATAAATAAATAATTTATAAGCTACTTAATAAAATTAAAAGCTATTTTAAACCTAATATTAATATTATAATTTTTAAGGTTTAGGCTAATTTAATATTTTTATTTTATAATAAAAGTATCCCTAACCTTAGCAAGAAACTTAAAAAGATTTAGTAAAAATTTACTTATATTAATATTACTTTTTTAACTAAACTTATTATTACGACTTTTTATTAAGCCCTAGGTAATTAATTTAATTATTTTAAGGCCATGCATTTTAATAACTATATTATTAAATATTTTTTAAAAAATATTATTATATTAATTACCTTTTTAAATAACTTTATAATTATTATTAAGTTTATTAAATTAAACTAAAACTAGGGCACTAGTACCTTAATACTTTTTTTAATAAAATATTTATAAAGCTTAATACTAAGTACTATAAAAATTACTTTAATATTATTTAAATATATAAAAATAAGGGTATTATAAATATTATTACATGTTATTATCCTTATTATAACGCGCTTTTTTATAGCTAAAAAACCTATTATTAACTTTATTTTAAGCTTAAAACTACTTAAAAAAACTTTTAAAATAATAAGGGCGCTAAGCGCCCCCGGAAAGACTTTAAATTTAAGGGAAATATAAAGCTTATGCTTAAGCTAGTACTTATAATTTAAATTAACTTAAATTTTAAGTAAAAAATTATTTAAAATAATCTTATTTAATAAATTACCTTAAATAATAGTTATATCTAATATATTATTTATAATTACTTTTTATTTTAAAATTTTAAGCCTTATACTAGCCCTAGTATTAAGGGTATTAACCCTAAAATTTTTAATACCTAAAATATTAATATTATTAAAATTTTTTATTATATTAATAACTAGCTTAAAATCTTAGCTTTAAATAATATTTTATACTACCTAAATATATTTTTTATACTAATATTTATTTTTTAGCTATTAAATAAGTATTACTTAGTTATCTTTAGCTAGTAAAATATAAAAGCTAAAAAGCTATAAAATACTAATATTATTATTTTATATAATTATAAATTAGCTTAGTATATAGTTACTAAAGTTTATAAAATATTTTTTTTAACCTTTACTAAGGTTTAATAATACTAGCTATTTTAATACTAGTAGCCTTTATTTTTTAAAATAAATTTTTTTAATTTTAATATTAATAAATAGGCCACACCTTTAAAATTAACTTAATAAAATAAAAAAGGTGGTTTATAATATATATATGCCTAAAGGCTATATTTATAAATTTTATATTATTACACGCTAGCAGGCCAAGCCTTATAAAGGTATTATAATATTTATTAATTAATTATTTAAATTATTTTATATAAATATTTTTAGCCTGTATTTACTTTTATTTAATAAAAAAGTATATATTAGCTTTATTATAAATAATAAATCTTATTACTACTAGGTTATAGCACTAGCTAGCAAGAATAAATTTATTATTTAGGCTTTTTTTATTATTTATTAATATAACATGCCTAAACTCCTGCTACACTATATATACTATAATTAAAAAAAATATTTATAATTTATAATACCTTATTTATAGCTTTAAAGCTATTATAAAAATATTTAATATAAACTAGTATAAATAAAATAATTATACTAAAGTATTTATTAATAAGCTACTTAGCCTTATATAATTTATATTATATAATATTAAAACCCTAGCTAATATATAGTTTAAGTTTTATAAAAATACTAGTTATTTATATAATTAAACTTTATATTTTATACTAAATAATATTATATTATTTAAAGCCTGGTATAGCTACTAGCTAAATATTTTTTTATATTTATATTTTTTAATTTAAGGTCTATATTTTAAACCTACTAAAAAAGTAAAAAAAAACTTTATAAAAATGGTAGAACAAGAACTAAAAGGCTAGTTAATTTTAATAAAAAAATAAACAAGCTATACTAAGCTTTTCTGGATAATAGCTATGTAATTTTAGTATATAATATTAATATTATTAAAAATTACTATATTAGGCTAAATTTTCTATTAAAAGTAATTATTTTAGTGCTTTTAAGAACCTTTATCCCCAAGGCTTTACCTTTTTTAAGGATTTTTATTTTTAAGGCCTTACCTTTAAGCCCTCCAGGGACCTTTATTTTTAAAATATTACCTAAAGTTTTAAATTTTTTAAAAATCTTTATTTTTAAGGCACCTAAAATTTTAATATTTTTAGGAATTTTTATTCCTAAAAACTTACTAGCTAATACTAACCTAAATACTAAAAAAAACCTTAAAAATAAATTTCTAAAAAGCCTAGCTTTTTTATCATCGTAGATAACAATCTTGATGAAGTATAATAAATAGCTTGTTAACTAAAACTAACTAAGCTTAATTTTAGGAAAGGGGTTAGTTAATAGCAGTAGCTAGTAATAGTATATGCCGCTAGTGGTCTAGCTAATATTAATAAGTCTTTTTTAAAAAAAAGCAAATGCCCTTATTTATTAATAAAAAACACTACTAAATAAAGAAAAAGATGCTTAAAAATTAAGCAAAAGTAGTAAGTAATAGTAATAAATAAAGCTTTAAAAGTAATAAAAGTAGGAAATATAAAAAATAAAGCTTAAGTAAAAATAGTTTAAGAATAATTAAAGGCTTAAGCTAGTAAGAAATAAAAAAAATATAAGAGTAAATCTTAATTACCTAGTAGGTAACACTAAAAATAAGGCTTAAAGGCTTTAAAAAGTAAAAAGTTTAGGCTTTATTAAGTTTAGTTTTATTTTAATTTTTTTAATATTAAATATAGCATATTTATAAAAACCTTTAAAACCTAATTTTTTATTTAA